ATTCTCCAATTCATATGGAGAAACAAAAACCCCAGAATTGCCAAAACAATCCTGTAGAACAACAGATGTTCTGGAGGTATCTCCATCCCTTATCTCAAGCTGTACTATAGAGCAATAGTAATGAAAACTGCATGGTACTGGCATAGAAACAGAATGGTGGATCAATGGAATTGAATAGAAGACCCCAAAATAAACCCACACACCTACGGATACTTGATTTTTGACAAGGAAGGCAAAACCATACAATGGAAAAAAGGCAGCATCTTCAACAAATGGTGCTGGTTTAACTGGATGTCTACATGTAGAAAAATGCAAATAGATTCATATTTATCACCCTGCACAAAACTAAGTCCAAGTGAATCAAAGACCTCAACATAAAAATAGACTCACTAATTCTGTTAGAAGAAAAAGTAGGGAAGAGCCTTGACCTCATTGACACAGGAGACAACTTTCTGAACAGAACACCAACAACACAGGCTCTAAGAGCAACAATCAATAAACAGGATCTCATGAAAATGAAAAGGTTCTGTAAAGCAAAAGACACTGTCATCAGAATAAAACGACAGCCTACAGACTGGGAAAGGATCTTCACCAACCCTATATCTAACAAAGGGCTAATATTCCTACTTGTTGCCCGTTTAATTCCTTCTCTTATCGTATTGCTCTAGCTAGGTTTTCAAGCACTATTTGAGAGAACCTAAAGGAAACTCAAAAGCAGATAAACACTTTTAGCAAGTGGCAGGCTAAAAAAATTAACACACTGTTTTAGTTACATTTCTATTTCTAGGAAAAGACATCATGGCCAATGAAATTAGTTCATTTTTTTCTTCATTTGTTTGTTTATTTGTTCATTTTACATCCCAAACACAACCTTACTCCCTACTCTCCTTCCAGTTTTTCCCTCCCATCCACTTCTGTCATACTCCCTTTCTTCCCCCAGTACCAACCCACCCTGGTATGTGAAGTAGCATCAGGACTAAGTACCTCCTTTTTAACTGAGGCAAGGCAAGGCAAGGCAGCCCTGTTAGGGAAATAGGATCCAGAGGGAGACAACAAGAGTCCAGGTCAGAGACAGTTCCCCCTCTAATTCTCAGGGGATCCACTTGAGGGCCAAGCAGCCCATCATCTTCGTATGTGTAGGGGGCCTAGGACCAGTCCATGCATGTTCCTTGGTTGGTGATTCAGTCCCTCTAAGCCTGCATGGGCCCAGGTTAGTTGGCTATGTAGGTATTCTTGTGTTATTGACTCCTCCAGCTCCCACAATCCTTCCCCTAACTCTTCCGCAAGACTCCCTGAGTGCTGCCTAATGTTTGGCTGTGGGTCTCTGAATCTCTTTTCATTATCTCCTGGATGAAGCCTCTCAGATGACAGTTATGCTAGGTTCCTTTCTGCAAGCATAGCAGAGTATCACTAGCAGTGTTAGGTGTTGGATCTTCCCATAGAGAGGGTCTCAATTTGGAACAGTCATTGGCTGGCCATTCTTCCAAGATACCTTTTATCCCTACACATCTTGTAGGCAACACAAATTTTTGGTTGAGGGTTTTGTGGGCATGGGGAGAGTGGAAATGGGTGGTGAGAGGGTGGGAAGAGAGAATGGAAGTTGGTGTTGTGGCATCTGTGGGACAATCCGGAGACCTATAATGAGGGAGGCCCTAGGAAGATATAAAGGTAATCCTAGCTGAGACTCCTAGCAGTGGGAGATACTGAGACTGAAGTGACCACAACCTATAGTTAGGAGGGACTTTCAGTGGAGGGAGGGAAATAGCAACCCACCCACAAAACCCTCAAAAATCATTGAATTGAGTTGAAAGATTGCTTACAGTTTCAGAGGATAAGACCATCATGGTGAGGAGCACAACAGCAGGCAGGCATAGTGCTGGAACACAGCTGAAATCTTCCATCTTATTCACAAGTTGGAGGCATAAAGAAAGAAACTATGCCTGGCATGGGTGAGCTTTTGTAAGCTCTACGCATACAAAAATTAGTAGCCTTCCTGTGTACCAAAGATGGTGGCAAAGACAGAAAGGAAGGAAGGCAGGTAGGAAGGAAGGAAGGAAGGAAGGAAGGAAGGAAGGAAGGAAGGAAGGAAGGAAGGAAGGAAGGAAGGAAAGGAGCAAACTGCAAACCTTGGGAAAAATGTAGCCAAGGAAATAAAAAACCTCTGCAATGAAAACACTGTAAGAAAGAAACACTTTAAATCACTGAAGAAAGAAATTGAAGAAGACACTAGAAGGTGAAAAGACTTCTCATTTACTCGTGTATTTGCAGCACTAATATTTTTAAAATGACTATTCCAACTCAGAATTTTCCAAATTAATACAATCCAGATCAAAATGACTACTTGGTTTTTCACAGAAATAAAAATAAATAAATAAATGAAAATCACATGAAGAACAAAAGACTTCAAACAAATTAATTTTGAAAATAAGAATACTGCTGTAAGGGGATTGAAGCAGATGCAGAGACTCACAGCTTTGGACAAAGAGCAGGGAGTCTTATGAAAAAAGGGGGGGATATAGAAGAACCGGGAGGGGACAGGAGCCCTACAATGAGACCAACAAAACCAAAAATGCTGGGCCCAGGAACACTTCAGAGACTGATAGATCAACCAAAGACCATGCATAGAGAGGACCTATACACCCTGCTCAGATGTAGCCCATAGACAGCTTAGTCTCCATGTGGGTTCCCTAGTAAGGGGAGAAGAGACAGTCTCTGACATGAACTCAGTTGCCTGCTCCTGATCACTTCCCTCTAGTAGGGCAACCCAGCCAGTCCACAGAGGAAGAGGATCTAGGCAGTCCTGATGGGTAGTCCTGATAAGCTAATGTTAGACAGTAGGGGAGGAGGACTTCTCCTATCAGTAGACTAGGGGAGAGAAATAGGGGAGGAAGAAGGAGGGTTGGTAGGACCAGGAAGAAACAAGAGAGAGGGCTACAATTGGGATACTAAGTGAATAAATTGTAATAATAATAATAAGGATAATAATAAATTTAAAAAATAACACTGCTGTTAATTATCACAGTTTCTGGTTGCAAGTCATACTGCAGAGCCATAGTAATAAAAACAGTCTGACATGAATGCTGCAAACAGAACTTCGCTCCATTGGAAGAACAATACTTACTCTTAACTGCTGAGCCATCTCTCTAGCCCCAAGCTATTATAGGATTAACATATGAAATCACAAGGAGATGTGATAACTAAAATTGAGGAATTTCTAAAAGTTAAGAATGCCCAACAATGAAAGTAGAACTCACTGCTTTGCATTTGAGTTAAAATGATGAGCTGTAGGTTAACTGTCCATTCTTTGGGAGTATCAAAATGAGATTTCTGCTCTGAGTTCGGTACCTGATCAGATTCTCTGTGCAACTAAATCCTATAATTTATATTCTTGCTATCACTGTTCAGAGTCTGCCTGTCCATGGCAAAATCCCTGGTCTCCAAGGACCATGTAGCTCATTCTCTACTGATAAAAGAATGAGTCCCCCCAGCCACTTGATAATTGACAGATAGGGAAAAAGATGATGTGCATCCAAACTAGTATACATTTTCCATCTTGAAAAAGAACTAGAAATAAAAAGATCAAAAAAAGAACTAGAAATGAAAAGCCAGATGATCTTAAATAACCTAGTCATTAACCAGGCAATGCTAACTTTAAAATGAATCTCTCAAGAGATTTGACCTCTGTGATATTTTTCTTGTTTTATTATCCTTTGTGTTTCTTGGTTTCTGTTTGGTGTTAGGTAAATTGGATGAGTTAGATAAGGTCTCAGTTGGTAGCCCAGGTTGCTTTGTGTATGTTATTTTTAAATACAATATTTATTTTAGTTGCAATTCCATTGGATGTTCAAATCTTTTTCACCTACCCCAAACACAGCGTACAGTGATTCATCACACATCTGTGGGAAGTAAATATACACGGTGTATTTTTAGAGAAGCAAATATGTGTGCATGCTTTCCCAAAACAAGCACATTTAAACTGGATCTGAAAACAGGCACGCTTCAGCCTTGACCACTTGTGTGCTAGTTTTCATATTTAGAACCTTCATTTCCATGCTAACATTTTCAGATCAACTCCCACCTAAACTGACAGATTCAATGGCGCATAATCCTATATTCTGTATAGTATTTGATTAAAAAAACAAAACAAAACAGAAGTCCTGTGAATGAAAGTTGAACGCTGGTAATTCTTCTTTGTGGCTTTAATTGTTTTTGTACTAATGTAAAAAAAAAAAAAAATTGTGTGTCCCTTAATACTCACTTCTAGTTCATCTAGGAAATGTTCCGTTACTGTGCAGGAGAGTCAGATTGATCACTGGTAAAGATAAGAAAGGAAGAATAAGAATAAGCCCTGCAGCCAGGCAGTGGAGCATGTCTATAATCCCAGCACTTGGGGAGGCAAGGCAGATCACTGTGAGCTCAAGGCCAGCCTGCTCTAGAAAGTGAGTCCAGGACAGTCAAGGCTACACAAAGAAACCCTGTCTCAGGGGGGAAGAAGAAGAAGGAGGAGGAGGAGGAGGAAGAAGAGGAGGAGGAGAAGGAGATGAAGGAAGGAGGAGAAGGAGGAGAAGGAAGGAGGAGAAGGAAGGAGGAGGAGGAGAAGGAGGAGGAGGAGGAGGAAGAGGAGGAGGAGGAGAAAGAAAGAGGAGGAGGAGGAGAAGGAGAAGGAGGAGAAGGAAGGAGGAGGAGGAGGAGGGGGAGGAGAAGAAGAAGAAGAAGAAGAAGAAGAAGAAGAAGAAGAAGAAGAAG